AATTTCCAGATAGGACTCCAAAATCTACAATAGGCTAAAAATGTTATCAAAAGTTTACTTACAGGAATTGGCCCCTGGAAAATGTGATGCTCTGAGTCACAACACTAGAATGAGCCTAAAAGGGACAGTGGAAGGCTGCATTTCAAAAGGGGTATGTGTGTGTGAAATTTTAAAAGTAGGGTACTCAAGTGACTCTTATCAAAATCACTAATGACCTCCAAATTTCTAAATTCAATATTCTAATTTTCTGTTGAATTTTAATTAGGACACTTTCTAGTAGATTGTCTGCAAAGATGATGGAAACAAACCCTATCACTCCACAGGGTCCTCTGTGATAAGTCTTGGCTGTGCTTCCCCTCACGAGATGAAATCTATTTCCTTATCCCATGAATCTGGACTGGCTTTGTGACACAGAGTTTGACTTAATATGGTAGAAGTAACACTATGTGATTTCCTTCTCCCCCCTTAGTTATTTATTATATTGTGGTAAAATATTCATAACTTAACATTCACCACTTTAACTATTTTTAGCAACTATCACCATCATCCATCCCCAGAACTTTTTTCAACCTTCAAAACTGAAACTCTGTATCTAGTAAACAGTAATTCACCATTTCCCCTTTTCTCTTAGCCCTTTGCAACTATCATATCTACTTTCTGCCTCCATGGATTTGACTACTTCAGGTGCCTAATATAAATGGAATCACAGTGTTTCTCCTTTGGTGACTGGCTATTTCACTTAGCATACTATCTTCAAAGTTCATCAATGCTATGGCATGTGTCAGAATTCTCTTCCTTTTTTAAGCTGAATGATATTCCACTGTATGCATATGTCACATTTTGGTTGTCTGTTCACCCACTGATGGATACTTGGGTTCCCCGACTCCTTGACTATTGTGAATAATGTTGTTATGAACATGGATGTATAAATATCTGTTCAAGTCCTGCTTTCACTTCTTTTGGGTATATGTCTAAAAGTGGGACTGCTGGATTACATGGTAATTCTATGTTTGATTTTTTTGAGGACTCCCTACTGTTTTCCACACCAGTTGTACCTTTTACATTCCCACCTGCAGTGCACAATGAAGGGTTCCAATCTCTCCACACCCTCACCAACATTTTTTTCTCTCTTTCTCTGTTATATAATAGCCATCTTAATGGGTATTTATTAAGTGGTTTTTTATTAATTATTTTTTATTATTTTTTAATTAATTTTATTATTAATTAATTAATTAATTATTAGTGGTAATTATTGTGGTTTTGATTTGCATTTTCCTAATGATTAGTAATACTGAACATCTTTTCATTTATTTATTGGCCATTTGTATATCTCCTTTGGAAAAATATCTATTTGAGTCCTTTGCCCATTTTTTTAATTGGGTTGTTTGGTTTTTTTGCTGTTGAGTTGTAGGAGATTTATATATGTCCTGAATGCTAACCCTTATCAGATATATGATTTACAAAGGTTTTTTCTCATTCTGTGGGTTGTCTTTTCACTCTGTTGATAGGGTCCTTTGATGCACAGTTTTAATTTTGATATAGTCTAATTTATCTAATTTTTCTTTTGTTGCCTGTGGTTTTGATGTCATACCCAAGAAATCATTGCCAATTCCAATATCACGAAGCTTTTCCCCTATTTTTTTCCTGTAAGTTTTACAGTTCTGGTATGTGTAAAGTTACTTTGTGTATATGGTAAAAGGTAAGGGCCCAACTGCATTCTTTTGCATGTGGATATCCAGTTTTCCTAGACGTATTTCTTGACGAGACTGTCCTTTTCCCATTGAATGGTCTTGGTACCCTTGAAAAAAGTCTATGGTTTATTTCTGGGCTATTTTACTCCATTGCTCTCTATATCTGTCTGCCTTGATTACTGTAGCTGTGAAGTTTAAGTTGAAATCAGTAAGTATGAGACTTCCAACTTCCTCTTCATCAGGAATGTTTTGATTGTTTGAGTCCCTTGAAATTCCATATGAATTTTAGAATGGATTTTTCTATTTCTACAAAAAATGTCATTGGGATTTTGATAGAGATTACACTGAATCTGTAGATTGTTTTGTACAATACTGACATCTTAATAATATTGTCTTCCAATCTATAAACATGAGATGTCTTTCCATGTTTTTCCACTTTTTCTATGTACTGGAGATGTCTTTGATTTCTTTCAGCAGTACTTTGTAATTTTCAATGTACAAGTTTTTCACCTGAATGGTTAAGCTTATTCCTAAGAGTTCATTCTTTTTGATGCTATTGTAAATGGGCACTGTGAAGATTCTAGGCTAAGGTCTCAAGAGACCTTACAACTTCTGCCATCACCTGATGGCAGACTGCTACTGCCACATAAAAACCCCAAGCTTGCCTGATAGGGTCATATGACTTAGGCAACTGTCATCACAACTGCCAGACACAAGTGAAATAATTTTAAAGAGATCATTCAGCTCCAGTCAAGCTGCCAGATGATACTCGCCACTTGAGAGACCACAGGTGAGATCAGCAGAAGAACCACTTGGCTGAACATAGTCAAACTGCCTACCCACAAAATTGTGAGCAAATAAAATAGCTGTTACTTTAATCCAATAACTTTTGGGGGTGGTAGCAAAGACTAGCTGCACAGAATTAGATAATTTTACTTGCTATTTTTTAACTATGACAATTTATTCATTACTTTGTAGCACATTTCAAACTGTTTGTCAGAGGCTATTAAGATTAATCCCAACTGAGATAAAACAGAGTTCTTTGATGCTAAAAACTACATAATTCATCATGTTCATGAATGATTTAAAGCTTGAATGTCAGCATTCTAAATAATTTACAAAACTTACAAAAATAGCTTAAAATGAACTCTTACCTATAGAAAGACTTTATTTTCTAATTTCTAACTTCAAAATTGAAAAAACAGTAAGAAGATATTACAATTACTATTTTCAGGCTAACCTGTGCCATTGCTAATATTTGTTAGCAATTCATACTAAATTTATTGGTGATAGATTTTGAAACTTTATTATCTGATTATTAAAAAACTGAAACAATCACAATATTTAGGATAAAAGTACTTAACATTAAAAATATTTATAATCCCAAAGATTTAGAAGCATGATTACTATGCAAAGTGATTAATATTACTTAAAAGTTTTAAAGATATACACATATCTAAACTTTTATGTACTTACCAAAAAATGTACCAATAAACATAGCTACAAAGGATTGTAGTTATTTTATGTGGAAAAAAAATTAGAGAATAATATTCAAAGGTAACATAATACTTAAAATATGCTAACGCAAAAATTTACTTGGTTGCCAATGGGTTTCAGCCCCAGGCAAGTTCACTATGGATTCAGTGAGATTGAGGAATGACAAGGGAACATTCTTGGGGTAAAAGGGTTTATTACTCAGCTTTGTTCTCCAGGCTGATAGGTCAAGCACTAGAATTACATCTACATTATGTTACTCTACAAGAAGACATGTCAAAGAAATAATCAATCTTCCCATGTTTTCTTCTGTCTGCTACTTCTATAGCTTTTCTTCTTCCTTCCTAATTACAATCCTTTAGTAGAATTCGTGCCTCATATAGAAAATTACCAAGTATAATTCTTCCAAGTGGTAAAGATACCTCAAGACAAATGCTGGGCATAGAAGCCACAGGGTATAAATCTGCAAAGAAGTAAAAAGCTAACCTTTTCAAACACTATTGCTTCTCTCTCACTTACCAACTTTACATTTCCCTGTATGGCCCCGGAAGATGACTGGTTAGCCAGAGATGGGTAAGATTCCTCAAGGGAGGAACAACCTAAGAC